TTGATAGATTGGTCGGCGAACATATGTACCTTTGACCATCAGGATCTATGCGATTAATTTTGGTTACATCGCTCAAACAACATACTACCATTAATTTGTTGTCCAAGATCAATAAGAGTTGGAAAAGTCTACGCGTTGTTTACTTTGAATTTTAGTCGGAAGTGGTTCCGTGTGTGCTGCTCTGCCGTGAAGTCCAACTTCGACCAAATGCCGGGATATTGTTTTCTTGGATATGTGAACATTATATTCGTCTTGAGTTTTATGTTCCACTATCATTACTCTCTTTTTTTTTTTGGTCTCTTCAGGCGATAGTAGTAATTCAGCAGTCTATTTCTGTTGAAGTTTTTAAGGTTGTTTCTTTAGGTGTAACATTGGAAATGGTTTTGAAATTCGATATATTCTTAAGGGCATTGAAAACAATTTTTTTGACCTGAGCTTCCAAGCAAATGATAGCTTCTTTATTTGGAAAAACTGGATACGTAGAACAGTAAATTCTGAAAAGTGCAGAAGTATTTTTTTTTGCCAGTTGTCTCTTTAAGAAATCAGGAAAATCATAAATCAGAATCACTGTTCATCACGAGAATGTGAGTACTCACATTTCAAAATATTTGATGAGTCATCTGCAGTATAGCCCTGACTTGACTGCTTAAAAAATAAACTAGATGTTAACGTTTTTCAACACCTGAGGTAGAGTTGATGCGTTCAGAAGGCATGTTTTTAGATACCTCAATCAGAATGGCAAAAGTGCCTCGACACTTGCTTCAAACGCAAATGTGTATAGATCTTAATGGAGAATATTTTGGAAAACTATAAAATGAATGTCAGTGATTAATACTTGTTGTTGTTCTCTAATCCCGAAATACAAAAGACAACAATCGTAGAACAGGGCGAACCACAAAATTCATCAACTAAGATCCCTTCATAATAATGTTTGTCAAAAAAGTCTTGCGGTATTTTCGCTAGTGTGCGCTGAGAGCGCGTAGTTCTAGTTTTATCGTCGCATCGGGTCATGCTATACCTTTTTGGAAAGCTCATTTCACGCACTAACACGTGTTTGATTGATTGTCGTTTCTTTTAACTCGTTCGTGAGTTATAGCGTTGCAAACATACAAATACGGCATATTTTACAGTACTACTACGATAAAGGCAAAAATGCATCTCAAGCCGCCAATAAAATTTGTGCAGTTTATGGAGCCAATACAGTTTCCATTTCCACCGCACAACGATGGTTTCAACGTTTTCGTTCTGGTGTAGAGGTGGTCGAAGATGCGCCACGCTCCGGAAGACCTATCGTCGAAAATTGTGATAAAATCGCTGGATTGGTCGAAAGAGACCGGCATAGTAGCAGCCGTAGCATCGGTCAAGAGCAGGGCATGAGTCATCAAAAAAAATTTTATGAACAATTGAAAATTCAATAAAAACGCAAAAATACCGCAAGACTTGTTTGACAACCAATATCTTAGAACTACACTTTCCTTTTTATATGAAAATAATTTCACCTTCGCATATGGCAAGTAAAGAATATAGTTTTTGTAACGCTTTTATTTTTCTTTAGTAAAAACTAACTAATTTTCTGTGTATACAAGTTCAAAAAATTAGAATATAATTAGCACTACGGTAAACTAAAATGTATTTAAATGCTTTAAAATGGGATATATATTTATATAATTTATAATCTCGTCCAAATTAGCGATTTGGATATTTGAATTCAACTTGATATATAATTTTTTAAAAATGATACGCTATTATAGTGATAAAAAACAATAAAACTTGCTGATTTTAGGTTTTATAACGGTAAATCAACAATTTTTTGCCTTTCCTTCTAATATTTATGCTTAATAAAGGATATTTTCAAATTAATGACGATTAATTAAACTTATATTTATAATATGTATGTATATGTTTGTTAATGCAGTATGTCGCAATTAAATTGCTAGTCGGTTTTACAAATGAATGTGCTGATTGTTAAGACAATACTTGCTTATTTGCAGATAATATTCAAAAATATTAATATATACATATATACATATGTATGTATGTAAGTGTATATGTTACACAAATCACTTCAAAAAATCGAAATCCTGCAAATATGCGAACAGAAATGTATTATTTTATATTCGAAAGTTAATTGTGCTTTTAAAATACAAGTTCATTTCAGTTTGAAATTCAATACAAAATTGCTCGTAATTTTCTCAATTGTCATAATTTTTATTGAGCAGAAAATCAAGTTTTCCACTCACAACATTAAACTCAATTTGACGGTTACGTATGTATGTAAATAAAAACCGATTTATTTCGGTTTTTGTTTGTTAGAACTTTCGTAATAATAATAGTGCAAGAGCATGTTCTTTTGCAAAATAGAAATGTTTTTAAATAGTTATTCAAAAATTATAAATTTGACAGATTCATTTATACGAAAAAGTAACGCTTCTCTTAGATTATTTCATAAAAAAGGTAAGAATAAATGAAAATGTATAAATAGTTGCAAACATGAACATATCTTAATTTTCTTTCGAAATTTTCTTTTTCGAAAATTTTCACATTTAGATTGCATATGTTTGGTTTACATTTATATATCCTATCAAATATGTCTGAAACAACAATAATCGTATTATTTGAAAAATTGAACGCATAAGTTTTCAATTAACGAAATTTCGGAAATTCGAATTTTTTAGTTACGTCTAGAAGTTTTTAGTAGACGAAATTTCGGAAATCCGAATTTTTTAGTTACGTTTAGAAGTTTTCAGTCACGGAATCTCGATTATCAAAAAACAAGTAAATTTAACTATTATTTAAACAAAATTCTTACTCAATTGTCAAAGCGCTATACACAAATTTCGAACTTCTATTTTGAGTGTGATTTTGTTTTGATTAGTTGAATATCAATTTATATTGCTTCTGAACATTCGTACGCGCTTCGAACTTTTGTTCGAAATTTAAAAAAAAAATTTGCAGAACTTAAATTTGTTTTGTAAAACGTATTTTAAATTCGTATAATCAGATATATTCATGTTGCGAAGTTTTTTATAAAAAAAAATGTGCACCTTTTAATCCCGCTGTTGAGATTAAAAGCGAGATTTTCATTTGTTAATTAATACATTTTGTTTTTATTTTTCAAATGTTATTCCAGTTTTTTTTTTTATTGCATTATTTGCAATCCTGAATATATTTAATGATTCTTTAATTAGATTTTCGAAAACCTATACTGTAACTATAATTTTAACCTAATAACTGCACATACTAATGCTACTGACATTAAACGTTTGAAATTGTATTCGAACATTAATTTGAAACTTACAAAATATTGCAGCAACCTCAATGTGTTTTAGATTTTGAGTTGAAAAAAAAAATTTTTTTTTTTCGAATTTCCAAAATCGATTTTATTGCAATACTAAGCTAATAGCTTTATGAAATAAGTTTAAAGGTAGTTAAACGTTCTTATATTCGAAATTTAAAAAATGTTGAAAACACTTAATATTACACGCAAAACATAACTTAAATTAAATTTTCAACATATTTTAATATGCTATATGAATTGTATAAGTATTTTAATTGCAGTTTATTCCATATGGCTCATTTGCATTTCTTAATTTGAAATATTCGGTTACTTTTCGCACACATTTTCGTAAATATATGTATATGTAAGTATGTATTGTCTTAACAACCAACGCATATTATTCGCCACGCGCCTTCTCCGACTAGTCGCTTTTTATTTGACATTTGATATGAACGTTTATTTCCGTTAAGCTTAAAAGCGTGAAGCTTTAAATTTGACGCAAAATCATATTTGTAATAAAAAATACTGTAGCACAATAAAACATTATAGAGCTAGCGTTCAAAATGAGCCATTGCGCATAACGGCGCCATAACAACACACACGTCTCCACATATATTTACATATATGTAAGGTGTGCGTGCGTGCATGCTGTGCGAATTATGTTTTCAAAAAGGGCGGCGTAAAGCACATTATGTATGTATATATATTCTTTGCGAATATATGTATATGTATAATAAACATGAATATACTATATAAACACTATGTAATGCATGCTGCTTGTGTATGTGTGTTTGTGTAGCACTGTGTGTGTACAGCGGATGGGCCCACTTATCGAATTGACGTAACCTTTTTTGTTGTAGTTATGCAGTCATTGATAATTTCGCGCACAAGCGTATGACCTTGGCATTTAACAAAACAAAAACAACGGTACATAGTAATAATAATAAGCTTTGAGCGTTAATAATCGAGTGCTCCTGTGGTATATGGTACTAGAAAGCGTGTGAGTGTAAATAATTTCTCTTAATTTTTAATTTTTTTTTTGTAAATATTACCATCAAATTGTTATGCTAAATAATACAGTTTTTGCTGATTTGCAATGTTTGTTGTTGTAGCAGTACAAATTGGCACAATAATTTAAATTTTTTTTTATGCAATGTATACATATGTATGTATTAATGTATATGGTTATGCGTGAAAAAAGAAGAATTTATAATGTGGCATGTAACAAAATCTCCACAAAATTTTTTTTAAACAAATAATGAGCACAATTTTACCTTTTTTTTACTTTCAGCAACTCAGGCTTCAGGACTTACGTTTTTGTTTCAAGTTTTTTGTATTTTTTTTGTAATATGAAATTCGTATTTTTTTTAATATAACACTCTGTTTACTTCGTACATTTCGAACATGAGCAATAGTTATTGTTATCATTTTACTGTTTTTAGACCCCCTCTCCCGTGCACAAACTACATACATACGTATGCGTGTGTGTATGCACATAACACTACAAGCCTAAATTACAACAACGAAATGTAATAAACTTAAGACAACTCTTTTTACCATTGAGCTCATGACGAGTGCATGACGCTGCCATTCGTGTAACAGTTTCAAAAATAAGGCATACTTCCTGCTTATTCCTTCCCCTGATATAACTTCTTATACATAAGTATGTAGAAACTTCTAAATGACGCGCACACGCAACATTTTTTTTACAAATAACACACTCTTCCTTTCTAACTTTCTCTCACTGTAGTTAAATTGTAGTTATTTGCAATTTGTGAAACATATGTTGTTGTTTTTTGTTTTTTTTTTTTTTTTCTTTGCTCTAAACTTAATTTACGGCATTTACATATAATTGAAATAGTTAATTTCTCTTAGGAAAATAAATAATTATATGCATTGCTAATATTCGAATTTGACGTATCTCAGAAATTTATAATTATGTATACAATACATGATTTTTGTTCATTACATTTGTGTTTTCGCTTGTTTCGTTTTGTCTTCTCCGTAATACATAAAGTACAAGTATCGATTTGATGTTATAATAAAAAAAATAGTTATATAAAAATAATATACGTCGGGGCAACTTAGAGAGCTTACAGCAATGCCCGCAGTTATGATTTACATTTCTTTTCTAACAACTACGTGGTAACATTGCCAACTGTTTTTACATACTTTCGTTTGATTTACACGCTTTTAAATATATGTAAGTATATATGTGTCGCTTAGTAGTTAGTACATATATATATATATAATACGTCGATTTAATGTGTACAGCTATATATAATTATGTAAAGTTTATCGTCGTGTGAGGCCTGTTACTGGTTTCGGTAAACCGCTACGCTTCATGTTTGTGTTTGTTGTCGTTGGCGGCCGCAAACCAGATGGCTTCGGTATGCCCTTTGAGCCAGTGGTGAACTTAGTCAGATTCAAGGTATTTGTATTTGTTGTATTACTAGTGGCTTTTGTTGCTGTAGTATTAGTACTGTTGGGTTTTCCAACAATTAAACCACCATTTTGTATGCTGCCGCGTGACGAAGCTGAAGACATGCTCTGTAAGAATAACAAATGTATTATTATTTAAACAAAAAAATGTAAACTTCGGCTGCAATGCAGCTTAAAGATCCTTCCAAATAAAAAATTTTCAATACAAGAATCGAGTCAGTTGGTATGACAGATATATGTAACAGTAGTCCGATCTATATAACTTGATCGGCGATTGTAACGCCAAATTTCGTGAAGCAGTCTGTCAAATAAAAAATGTCTCTATAGAAGGACTTCTGTTGATCGGATCATTTTAAATGGTAGCCGTATGCTATAGTTGGCCGATATGAACAATTTCTTCAAGGAATATAGTGTTGGCATGAACAATAATCCACGCCAAATAGTGAAGATATCTTGCCAAATAGGAAAGTTATCCATTCAATGACTTCATTTTTATCGGCCAGTTTGTATGCCGCTTATATGTTATTAAGGTTCCATATCGGCCATTCCGATAAATAAGCAACTTCATGGTGGTAGTGGAAGTGTTCAAAATTTCAGATCGATATCTCAAAAACTAAGACACTACTTCGCGTATATACAGACAGACAGGCTAAATCAACTCAGCCCGTCATGCTGAGCATTTATATATGTACCATAAGTTTATATGTGAATTTATAGGATTTCTGACATTTTCTTATGGGTGTTCTCAACTTCGCGAGCAATCGAATTCGAATGTCACAAACTTAATATGCCCCCTCTGGGTATAAAAATATATAAGTAGTATAATTAAATTACATACATCGGTGGGTGAATGTCGACCGCCATCCGCGTCGATGTCGTTCACTAACGGCGGTTGCGGTAGTGGTGGCATACCCTTAACGGCAAGACTGTTGAGACTGTAGTAAGCGGAGGAAGGACGCACTAAGCCGGCACGTTTGACGCCAGGCGCACGCAGGCCGGACACCAATTTGGGAACTTTGAAGACAGACTCGTCGGCCTGTTTATGTAGAATTTACAAGTTAGGTATTAGCTTGTGTATGGAAATAAATATTTATACATTTACCTGCTGAGGAAGTGTAGAGTTCGACGACAGACCATTTGCAATGCGCTGAAAGTATGAAAAAATACATTTTTATGATTAAATCGAAAGTACAAGTCACAGGAATCAAGCTTACATCATTGGGAGCGCCAGTGCCTTCATCGGCGGTTGGTTTCTTCAAACCGAAACTATTAGCGCGTGGCCCGGGTAAGCCAGTGCCGCCATTAAAACCGAAATTGCTCGATAAATTGTGGAAGGACTTCGATTTTGTGCCCATGGGACTTTTCACTTCAGCTGTTGTTGTGGTTTTTAAAGGTTGCGCGTTACGACTATACTTAGCGGGCTCAACAACAACTGTTGCATTGATGTGTTGAGTGGTATTTAGCGCTGCATGACTGACACTAGCAGTAGGTGGTCGTATACCGAGTGCTGTAGCACGATCCAAGTCGCCAGCCGATGTTGCTTTCACAACAGTAATCTTTTGCAAACCCGATATATATCGCGGACGCGATCGTGAACGTAGCCGGCTAGGTGGTACTGGTGGATTTTCAAGCTCCTCACTGCCACCGTTAGCTGTTGCAGCCGTTAAAGGCGCGCTAACTATTTCCGGCAAATTAGCAACATTTGTTAGTTTGTCTTTCGGCTTTTTGTAGGTAAGGAAATTCGGATTTATTTTTGAAGCGTTGGTTGGACGCGTAAGGGTGCTTTGGCTATCCGTGCACAACTTTAGATTATGCTCAGTTTCAATTTCCGATTTGTTGTTGTTGAAGACAGTCGTACCACCGTCGTCAGTAAGCGAAACGTCGTCATCAATACAAGGCACATTCACTGCTATTAAGTCATCACCGGCATTGCGTGCTTTCACGATTTTGATTGTTTTGAAGCGATCACGATCACGCTCCCGACGTTCGGAGAGTTTATATGTGCCCACACCGTTATAATTCGCAACCGCTATGGTGTTGCTATTTTCAATTGCGCCTTCAGTCTTGCCAAAATTATTTTCTTGCACCTCATTTTTATAATCAGTCTCTTGTTTTGCTACTGCGTCAGCTGCCGCGCAATCCTCTTGTGCATTATCATCTCGCTTATGTACGGTGAACGAGGCACCCAGTGAGCGTGATGGCGATTGCGTATTGCCGCTACCGGCGGAAATCGTTGAGAGATTTATATTATCATAAAGACGACTGCGCCGACTAAGCAACCGTTCGCCTGTGCCGCTGACATTACCAACGCCACTGGCCGCCAACGAAGATGCTGCGGAAGAGACGGATATTGACGCGGACGAGGGTGAGGGTGACGATATGCCAGAAGGTGCCGTACAATCGCTGTTGACGCTAGCAGCTGCATCCGCATTGCGCCGTTGCTCGTATGCGTCGTACGTATGCATTTCTGTTGGCTTATCAGTGGAATCGTCAGTTTTATGTGCCTGTTGCAAAGTTAGCGCTTTTGCTACAGTCGTGCTGTCGCGATGAAAACGTCTTTTTATTGTCTCCAATGATTTCTTCATTTTCACATGCTCCGCATTGACTTCCACTTTGCTGAACTCCTCCAGCATATCCTCGAATTCTTGATCGTTATTGCTAGCCAAAAGCTCCTCTTCGGCATGTGCCAATTCCAACACATTCTGCATTTGTATGTCGGCTGCGCTAGTCTTGTGTCCCACTTGTGTCTCGGGTTTTTCGTAGGTCTCATTCGGATTTTCAAAATCATCTAGCATTTGTTCGATACTCTCAAGTCGCGGTAACGTGCCGGAAAATGTTTTCGTATTCACTTTTTTTACATCACACTCTTGACCGAAAGTTTCACTCAGCACACGCGTGGCATTGGCATTCAATTGCTCTGTTGCAGGCACTATGGGCGAGAGATTCACCTCATCCGCATACAATTTCGACGTTGTTGGTGTATTTAGTTGTGCGCCTGCGTTCAGACCCGCAGCATGTGGTGTTGATTCGTAGAATTTGCGTGAAGTTAAAGCTTCCGCCATATTTTCCGGTGTCTCACAACGCGTTTCCGCAGCTAAACGAGCATCTGGTGTTGACTGTTTGAATTCGTGTGTTGCATTTGCTCTATTCGGTATGCAAACAGTTTCATCCATGTTCCAGGGTCGTTTGAAGGTTTCATTAGCTGGTTTTGTTGGCATTGCTGGTGCTGCATTATCATTACCATTAATATTGTTCTCACATAGACTACTCTCAACCAGTTGGAAAGTTGTATCGCTGATTACCTCATCGCTAAGCAACATTGTACGATGCATAATGTTGCTTTTGCTTTCCGACGCACTGTTGTCAAACACGCCCACTGTGTGTGCATTTGGTGCTGCTATTATACCGTAACGTTGTTGTTGTTGCTGATTGTCCTCTTGCATGCTCTCAGTGGAATTATCCATTGTACTGGAACCTGATGCAGTTTTACTAAAAGCGAGCGATATATCATCGATCTGGCAAATATGTGAATCTTTTATTAGTGTGCCATCACCCGACAGTGTTAACGATTCTAATGCTTTACGGTCGCGTATCATGTCACTTAAAGTATAACCATCACTGGTAGCCTTATTCGCCAAGTTAAATAATTCGCTGCCATTAAGTGTCGGTTCGTTGAAGTCAAGGCTTTGAGTCGATTGTAGGAAGTTAATGTTCGTGAAGTCGGCAGATGTGATTAATGAGTTATTCATGCGTTCCATTGACATCTCCATGGAGGAACATATGGATGATGGCGGTGAGGTGTCTTGCAAAAACGACTTATGCATTGTTGTAACAAGACCACCTATTTCTAAATTTAATGCGGGTTGTGGAGTTGCGATTGTGAACTTGTGTTGCAGCTGTTCATGGTGTGTGGGAAGCACTGTCTGTACGCCATTGTTTCCGGAACTGTGAGACTTAAAAACGATATAAAAAAAGAAGTTACAATTAAGTTAACTAAAAAGATTATATGTAATTACTTAAAGGCGTTATGCCCAACAAAAATTGATTTATGCTGTTTGGAGCGTACAAATTTAGATCGGTCAGTTTGTAGGGCAGCTATTTGCTATAGTGGTCCGATCCGAGTAATATCTTCGGATATTGTACCATTGCCTTACACAATAATCCAAACCGTTCCACGGCAGTCGGGGTCCATTTTTATTCGGACAAGGATTGTTAACTCGTCACCATTCCTCAAAATTACTTCAGGAAAGTGCTTGGCTACAACAACAAAAACGAAATACCCAAATTTCGGCAAGATATCATGTCAAAACACAGGATTTCAATCAATCGGTTTTTATGAGAGCTATATGATATAGTGATCCGATCTGAACGATTTCCTTGAAAAATAATGCATGTCAAATTTCGTAATGATATCTCGTCAAATTAGCCATTTATATTGTTTTCCTAACGGTTAAGTGTTAATCAAAGTTAATTAGTCAAGCCCATAGTTATGGTCGTTCAGTTTACATGGCAGCTGTATGCTATAGCGATTGTTGTTTTCGTAACGGTTATCTACTCTTCGTTAGAGTCTTAAGTTTTCATCGAAGTTAACCAACGGTAAGTCCTGGAAAGAGCTATTTCGACGTGGTCGGACCATAGGGGAGGGGCGCCAGATGTAACCCTACACATCTGACGCTGCTGGGCATAAAAAGAGGTGGTAAGAGTCATATTTAATATGTCTGATCAGCTATAGTGGTCCTAAATGGATGCTCCCAACAAAGCTTCCTGGGGAGAAAAAGACATGTGCAAAAATTCAGACAGACGGACAAAGAGGCAGACATCGCTAAATCGACTTAGCACGACATGCCAGGGTCTCGACGTTTTCTTCCGAATGTCACAAACTACATAGCAATCTTAATATTCATAATTCAGGGTTCAATTCCATAATATATCTAAGAAATACTTACGAAATTTTGCTCTAGATTTTGCGTTGACCTCCTGCGGGGTCGAGTAAACGTTCTTGAATTGAGTTTGTAGGCTAATAAATTATCACCAATTAGTATGTATATCCATGCCATTAGCGTATGTCGGAAATTTTTAGTACCACCAGCACCAAGCGTATGCAGAAAGAATAAACAAACAACAAAATTATTAAGACCCACCATATAAGGAGTAGTACAACTTCTGCAAAAGCGAAACACAACGGTACACTATTTTGACCAATATCGTGTTTGCAAGCTTATGTAGGTGTTCGTGTATATGCATTAATGGATCGCCGGTTTGACTTAATGCAAGAAAAAAAATTATTTTATAGCAATATGTAATTGAGTGAACTGTAAAACACAGTGGGCTTCAAGGCCAAATAGAAAAATTATATAGCAAAAAACATTTATAATATATTTGAAAACATTACGAATGCGTCTTTGCTTTCAATTTTAAAATTGTTGGTAATAATTATTGCAGTGACGGTGCATTTGTTTTGCACGCAGAATCTGAAAACATCTGAATCTGCAAACAATATTATCATTACGCATTATTGCATATACACAAATACCACACAGAAGCAATGGGCCGTTGTTATTTAAATGAAGCTTTACCAGTTTCATACCTTGCTCTTGTTGATACTGTGCTGGTAGAAGACAATTGTTGCTTTTCCATTGCTGCAAAATATTCGAAACGTCATCGTGTGTTTTATCTTCCAAACAACTGTATACGCCAATCAATAGAGAGAAAACAAAACAAATATGAAGTTAATTGCCTAAGAGCTAGTTTTGTCGTATACGTACATAAAAGAATCATCTTTTAGCGCTTCATCGATGTCCAAAATATCCATCGCTACAATATTTAATTTGAACTGCTTAAGTTGTTTAATATTTGTTTTATGTGTCGCCACTTTTATGTCACATCCACCCGTTACAATTTTCAGTAGAGGGTTTTTGCTACTGCCTTGTATATTGCTTCGGTTTATTTACTTCCTAACGTATATTTTATAAAACCAAACGAAATCGCACAATCTTAAAAGAAAAAAAGAAAGCTACGACGAAAAAAATACTATGGTTATTATGCCCGTTCTCAATTAGGTGAGAAAAAATTTTATTACTCATTCATTTTCAAAACGTTTGTTTATAGAATTTTTACACAATTTACGCAAATATTATGCAATTTCCAATTCCAATGGCAATTTTACCTATTTCTAGCGGTAATTATTTTATTTCAAACTAATTATTCACCTTTTTCTTTCATCAACTGAAAATATGCAGCTCTCCCCAAAAGTTTTATCCAGCTGCTCGTTGGGCGATGACAAAGAACTGACTAGTGGTGAGCTTAAATTATTATAATGTTGCCTAGAAATTTATCGAGTGTAGTGCTCTCTATTATCGAATATTAAATATTACTTGCAAATAATTATATATTGAAAAGACTTAATTATAAATGCACAAGTATTATAAAAAAGTAAATCTAACAATTTTATGACATCATTTTTTATATAAGCTTAAAATTTGGAGTATTAAGACAAACTGTTAATGGTAACAATATGTTTTTTTGTGTTTGATGTAATCTAATATATAATTATTAGGTATACAACTTTGCTTCCGCCGTTTACCAATAGATGTCTCTCGGGTCAAGCACTGGTCGATTAAATCGTTTTATATCGATCTTGGACATTTGTGTCAATATTTGTAGAGATCGGTTTGCATTCAAAATTTATTCTAAACTGAAAATGCACTTTTTGAGGCGAAATCTCGACATTTGCGGGAAATTTTGCTCTTCTTTTCCAATTCCAAGAAAAGTGCAGCTGAGGCTCATCGAATGCTCTCGGATACGTACGATGAGGCTGTCCTAAGAGAAAGAACATGTCGCAAATGGATTCAACGTTTTAAGAATGGTGATTATGATGTCGAAGAAAGGCATGGTGGTGCAGCTGCTTCAAAGGCACAACCGAAAGTAATTTTAACATCGCATTGTAACTGGCGGCGGTCATGGGAAAAGTCTGGACATGCCTCCACGTCGACGTCATGCTCTGAATTTGGTGGGACCAGCTGGGGGTGATATATTTTGAGCTGCCAAGTGAAACCATCACAGGAGATCTATACCGAACGCAATTGATGCGTTTAAGCCGAGCACTAAAAGAAAAACGGCCACAGTACGAGGTACGAGGAAAGACACGATAAAGTCATTCTCCAGCATGACAATGCTCGGCCTCACGTCGCAAAGGTGGTCAAAAAATATTTGGAGACGCTGAAATGGGAGGTCTCACACCACCCGCCGTATTCTCCAGACGTTGCTCCATCTGACTACCACTTGATCCGATGACATACGGTCTAGCTAACGGGCACTTAAGTTATGAAGAAGTCAAAAATTGGATTCATACTTGGATCGACTCGAAAGATGAGGAGTTCGTCACGGAATACACATGCTGCCAGAAAGATAGTCAAAAATAGTAGCTAGGGACGGAAAATATTTTGAATATAATTTTTGTAACCGTTTTTACACAATAAAGCCTTAACTTTACAAAAAAAAATGCCTAAAAGATGAAATTTGTTAAATTTCTAAAATAACAGACAATACTTTGTTTAAGGGGGAAGTACAGTTAATACAGGTTTTATGATTGCTTTTGATGAAAAAGTAAAAGTCTATGTCTAAAAACAATTGGTAGGTTTTAAAATGATATTTGAATGATACAATGTTATGTTTAATGTAAAAATACGGAAATAACAGCAATTACTCCGGAAAAAGTTATGTTTTGGTTCCCTCAACACTCGATATTGGATCATCTCAAAGCAAAAAATTAAAATTTTTGCATTATAATTGCTTGAAAAGGATGCGGAAAATTTCGAAATGTTTCCCTTTTCGGGTGCTCTTTTAAGGTTTTGTGCCAAAAAATCTATTTAGGTAAGTTGTGGGTAAACGATTCAAAGTTTTTAATACGATATAATAAGTGCATAAGACAGGTATGTATTAAATAACTCGTGTTTTTTGCTCTAATCGACTTAGAATTGTGGGACAACATTCGTGATATGTAATGCATTAATAAAAACGAACTCTATTCCCCCTTAGGTCGAACAATAATTCCTTTTAAATTTTTGTACGGAATAATTTTGGTAGTGCTCGAAATTAGTATTAATAAATAATTAAATTTTAGTTTTTTCTTACACATGCCATATTTGTATCTAAATTATTTGTACCGCATGAACACCCCTTATACAATTACTTCCTTTACATTCCACAAACAAATGAAAGTTCCATCCCTTTCACTCTTGTTATAAGTCGAACACGTACATAATTGATAAGGCTGTATTTATTTACTGTTTCAATTTTCACGCTATAGCGTTTCTATTGGTCCTTGTCTTTGTTTTTAGACACCTTTTGACAACGCGAATGGTTCCAAAATCCACATATTCACCTTTTATTAATTGAAAGTAGATGAACTCAAAAGTATTACGGGACAAGTTGATTACAAAAATTTAAAAGCCGCTAATTTCGGATATAATAACAAAAAATCATAGCATTTGTGAATTTATTGATTACTCCGTGTTTTCAGTGATTGGTTTTTATAAAAATTATAATTTCCTTGAAGGATCAACCACGTTGTAGAAATTAAGTAAGTTGCCATCATAATAGAAGTGGGTTACTGCGTGTATAAGCAGCTGTGCGCAAGATAGCGTCGCTGCCTTGATTGCAATAAGTATAAATTGTTCGAGAAGTAGAAGTCTTTTTTGGAACTACACGTTTAAATGTTTGAACAATAACGAAAGTAAAATGCAAAGCACAATGTTGCGGTAGTGTTAGAAAATTACCACAATAATTTTCTCCATTAAGTAAAACTATGTGTGAATAGATGTACATCAAAGTTATAAATGCTTTTGACGACGGAAAATTGAAAAAAAAAAATGTGACTACCGCTGCTATCAAGAACGTGGCTTTTGCGCGTGTTTTCCTACATATATGTATAATTTGTTCAGGTAAATTAAACGCGTTTTACCATCGGCATATAATACCAAATGAAATTCGCTAAAGTAAAAGTGGCTTAAAAAAGAGCAATGATATATTGATTAAAAATACGTGCTTAGAGATATATGTATGTTATGTTAATTGTACGCTTCGAAATAACGAGTTAAAAGCTTTATATTCTAGTTTCTGCAATGCAAAAATTACTCAGTTTGTGATTGGCGAGAGTCTTTGTTTATGAAATGATGTTACAAGGGGGGTTTTTTACGTATCAACTTCGCTGTGATGCCACGTTAAAATTACTGAGTTGCACATATGTGCATCTGTATGCTTTGATTACATCAAAGCGCAGTTACATATGAAACAGAGAAAGTTTACAAAACCTGTTGCCTCACAATTTGTTTTCATCCTGTTTTCTTTAACGGCATTTACAACATACCGAAATTTAAGTTGAATAAAATTTAACTTTGTGGCCTGGAAGAATACCGTTTCCGTTTTTCCAAAGCGATTCCAAAGCAAAGGTGGTCCGCTAAAAATTGTAAACAGTGAACACTGAAAATATATTGTGTAAATTTGCTTGTGAAATAGGTGTACTTCGTATAATTAAAACACTCAAATAGTATCGGAAAGAATCACTTTTTGAAAACGTATATATTTGTCATATACTGTAAAAATATAACCCGACAATATAATACATTAAACGTAATTTCTTACAGTTGGTGATCACCTAGATTAAAAATAAATTATAAACAATATGGCTCGAGGACATCAAAAGCTTCAGTCTCAAGCTAAGGCTCAAGAAAAGCAAGCAAAAATGAAAAAACAACAAGGTCATAGTGCCAACGATCAGAAGAAGGCAGCACAAAAAGCGCTCGTTCATGTGTGCGCTGTTTGCAAGGTACATTAAATAATTTTTGATTATACATACCTAAATACTTATTAATCATATATAATTACAGTCTCAAATGCCCGATCCAAAAACTTACAAACAACATTTTGAGAATAAGCATCCCAAAAATGAAATGCCACCTGAATTAAAAGATGTGTAAAATTTGCTGTTTTAATCATTCTGGCTGCAGTTAATATACTCCAAATTGATATATTTGAATAAATATTATAGAAACGAAGCCAGGAGCTACCCACAATTGACGAACATGTGTATTATTGCTAAAGCAAATAAAAGGTCTGCTCTTGCGATAACATAGCTAATTTTTTTTTGTATTTGTTTTGTAGAGTTTTAAAAAACACTCAAACTATTTTCTTTTTTTTGTTAAATAATTAATAAAAATGTAACCCAGACGTATCAATTATGATGTGTAAATTTTGTAGCGGTCTGCATACCGACCAATATACAGTTATTTACTACTGCCGTACTGCTTCGCTTCAGTTAAATTCAAATGTGGTTAACTCAAATTAATAGTTCTTAACATTGATAAAGCTGTTTGATTGTATTTTTTTCATATATATATAAATACAAACATATTACACAGAATTACAATTTTTTAAAATTGCAAGATTATATTCGTAGATATATACATCTAAGATTAATAATAGCAAAAGGCAAAAAATATATTTAGTATTGTATCACACAAGCATGCATACATACATACACAATTTTGTACTATATAAATTGCATATTGATATAATATAAGCAATTACTCCCCGCATTGGCTCATATTTTTCTCCTGTGTAAATTTGCCTTTGTATTTTAACGTAGAAAAATTATGTTGTAATTGATTTATGAAAAAATTCAATAAATATTATTTAAAAGAAAATTTGTCGAAAGGCTGATTTTAAAAATTGTCCGTTGTATTAAATGCTATGGTCACTGTCATATGATAAAAAACTTTATGAGAATACTTAAAAACCAGTGAATAAATTCCTTCTTGACTTATATTGAAGTCCATAAACTTAGACTCAGTTTTATTGCCATATTTTCGTAAACGTCAGCTAATATTATATTAAAAACTCTTCGTTCTTACTTTTTTTTTGCCAAAAAACATATACCAACTTTCATTAGGATATCTAATTTTTTACTCAACTTATAGCTTGCGCGGAGGAACAAGAGACAGACAGACAGTCAATCGGATTTCAACTTCTGATCATTTCATTATATATGGGGTAGCCGAAAAAGTCTTTTCATATTTCTAAAAAAAAACTTTAAATAATTTTTTATATTTATACTAATAAATAAATAAATATGTACCACTTTAGTCTTTCGCGTAATTCTTTATTATTTTCGCTAATTTTTGAACACCTGTAACTTTTTTCTACTTCCCCGATTTTAATGTTTTTGGTTAAAATCTCACCTTTCCTACACTATATGGTATATATGAAAAAAATTTTCGACTACCTAT